ACAGCCCCCCCCCCCCCCCCCGTCATCCAGTGGGAAATAGTGCAACTGTGAAATCTTTCCCTCCTCTGCTAGTAGTAGTAGAAGTAGAGATTGGATTTATACCCCGCCCGTCACTACCCAAAGGAGTCTCAGAGTGGCTTACAAACTCCTTTCCCTTCCCCTCCCCACAACTGTGAGGAAGGTGGGGCTGAGAGACCTCTGACAGAAACTGCTCTTGAGAAAGCAGCTCTGACAGAACTATGGCTTGCCCAAGGTCATCCAGCCAGGTGCAAGCGGAGGAGTGGGGAATCAAACCCGGTTCTCCCAGATTAGAGTCCGCGTACTTACACGACACCAAACTGGCTCTCACACCAAACAATCAGGCAGGAGCACTTGTCTTCACAGCCTCTTGGCTGCCCTTGGGTAGACAAACTGAAATAACTGCCATTTTGAGGTTACAGTCTATGATTGCAGACTTTTCAAAAAACCCATTTTCCCTGTGTGCCTCTCTTCCTTCCAGTTCTCTTGACCAAGCCCTCTTGAAAGTGTGTGTTTGCACAGTACTGGATTGCAACAAAGGTAAGTTAAATTACCATTCCTGTTGTGCTTTCAGAACCCACAAAGCCAGTGCTCTGCTGCATGCAGAAGTGTGCCCTTCACTTGCAATGCAGACTAGGCTTATGTTAAGAGAACTTGAGTAAAGCAGGAACTGAAGGGCCTTCTGGCGATGGTGTGTGACTGGTTCGGGGAGGTAGCTTTGTTGGTCAGGATAAAGTTTGAGTCCAGTCTGGCACCTTTAAGCCCGACCCAAGTTTTATTCTGGGCGCATGCTCACTTGGAAAACAGCCATAATTGTCTGGAAGCCAACCAGAAAGGTAAAGGTGTCCCTTGCTCGAAAGCCAGTCGAATCCGACTCTAGGGTTGCGGGGCTCATCTCCGTTTCAAAGCCGAAGAGCCAGCGCTGTCCGAAGACGTTTCTGTGGTCATGTGGCCGGCATGACTCAACACCGAGGCGCACGGAACGCTGTTCCCTTCCCACCGAAGTGGTCCCTCTTTATCTACTTGCAATGTCTTGCTTTCGAACGGCTAGGTTGGCAGGAGCTGGAACTAGAGACGGGAGCTCACTCCGTCATGCGGCACCCGGGTCTCGAACTGCTGAACTAACGACCTTCCACAGCCTGCATTGTTCAGTTTCTTAACCACTTGAGCCACCGCAGCTCCTCCTGGGCGCATGCTCACTGCTTCACATACTTGGAAAACAGCCATAATTGTCTGGAAGCCAACCAGTACCTACAGCTAGTTTTTCTGTCTCTGCTTTGGGGTTCTAGGGTGCGGGGCACACACCCAAACAGCACAAGCACCACCCTAACAGTGGCCACGCACCGGGCGCGCCGCGTATATGCGGGGGGCGGGGTCTTTCCCCATTCAACCTTTTCGGCCGGAAGTGCGTGCAGCGGATGAGGCGGAGCCGCCGAAGCCTCCCCTCGGTCCTTCCACCGCCAAGCTCCCCTGGCACAGCGTGCGCATGCGTGCAGTTCTCGCCCAGGGCCGTTGAGTTCGCTTTCCGTCAGGGCGCATGCGCGTAGCCGCGGTCCGCGCCGTGTGAAACGCCGGCGGAAGGAGTTTGCTTTTCCTCTTCCGGCTCGGTCGCCATCGCTGTGTTGGCTTCGGTGAGCTTGAGGCGGGGGCCGTCGGGGCGATCCGCCGGCATCCGCTCCGGCGGGGGGCTTGTCCGGGGCGGCTGGAG